TTGTAAAATGTTATTTTTAATATCTGATAATTGCATGTATGAAGAGGCTCCAAAAACTTTTGGGAAGCATTCCATTATCTTTTAACAGCATGCTTCCAGGAGCATTTTGGAGCATTTGGTTGACACAGGTCTATGAAAGGACCAGGCAGCTCTCACACAAGTTCCAAAGATTTGTGCCTAATGGTGCTAATAGTAGCGTAAATGAAGAGATTTAATAAGAAATATAAGTAGGCTTATGGAGTTATATTTTTTCTGTAACCTGATAATATAATGAGGTCCAGTTTTTTAATCCATATTTGTATACAGAAAGCAAAAAAAGACAAAAGGGTTATGTGAAAAAAATTCACAATTTATAAAAGTAGCAGATATTTATTAAACATTATGCCTTGGGCTGCTATCTGCAAGGTCAGTGGTTCAAACCCACCATGTGCTCATTAATCTGAAAGTCCTTCTCTATATTGTTCCAAAATTCCCCATACATAGGTGTTTGCTTCTGCATTCTCTGCTCCATTGGTCAGTCAGCCTATCTCTGATTCACTGCTGCAGCTTTTTAATAGATCCCGCTACTGCGGGATAAGCACTGCTCATTAACCATGAGGTGGGCAGTCCAAATTCATCAGCTACTCCTTAGGGGAAAGATGGGGCTCTCTGTTCCTATCAAGTTTTACAATTTCAAGAAATCCTGTATAAGGTTGCTATGAGTCAGAATTGCCTTGAAGGCCCTGGGTGGGTATTCTTATTATTGCTATAATCATAATTAGGAGTATAAGCCATAGAGAGCTTCTTATAAGGAAAGATTTACCTCGAGCCATCTTAGGAAGGTAAATAAGATGGTTTATATCATCTCAACCAGAGTCCAATGATAGAATCAAAATGATTACCCTGAGAAGCTCCATATTCCCAGGGGTAAAAAATAACATAAAATAAAAATTGGCTAATTGATTGGGGGAGCACAGTGTAAAGAAAGAATAGAAACACAGCTACAAGGTGACTTATTACCTGGCTTAGACTTAATACTTGAGTATTATTGACCTTAATACTCCAGTAAGAAGTCTGAGCTTAAGCCTGTTTAAGATAAGAAACCCTCACACATTTTAAAGCAAAAGCTTTATAATCAAAGCATTGGTTAATTATTAATTTGATGATGTGATTCAGTAAAACATAAATTCAAAGAGGAAAATTAGTTGAAACAAATAATTCAATTCATCTGTGAGGATGTTATGAAAGTCTAAGGTATAGATCCCCAAACTTATTTACTGTACGGTGCCCTTTTCAGAAAAAAAAAAAACCCTGCTCAGTGCCAACTGGCAATTCAAAGTGTTTGTACTGTAGCCCATTGTCCAGGAGACCATGTCAGTGTCTGCTTTGGCAGCCCCTGCCCTCCTCTGGGATCACTCCAGAGACCTCGCCCTGTGTGCTGTGATTTCCTGCCTGGTCTACGGGATGGCACTGAATAAAGGGACTGTGGTCCAAGGAAAAGTAAAGGATGCGAGAGCAACATCAGAAACCAGAGGCAACATGTTTGGGTGACTACATAATTCTGAGAAAAAAATAACGAGAAAAGCAAGCAGATTATACGACAGTCAATGTCTAACATTGCCAGTCTGTAGATGCATAGGCCAACGGGTCCCTGCAGTTATGATGGGTAGAGGGGGCACACGTTCCCTTTTGTGCGGCATCTTCTTCTTCCTTTCAGCTCACGTTCTAAATATGCTCCCTATAGCTCTGGCAGCAGGCACGTTGGCTTTAAGGCTTTGGGTTCTCGCTGTCTGAATAAGCACCTCATAATTTTGTAGTGGCTGAGGGAATAAGACCTGGCACGTACTGCGTTTTCAAAAGTTGAAAACAAAAATCTTTAAAAACCCATTTGCTTCTCATCCCTGATGCTCTTGGCTTAATTGCATCCCTTAATTATGTAGGTCAACAGAAATAGGTGACTCTGCTTTGTTTTGATTTCAAGTCACGTTCACTTTTGTATTTTCATGGACAAGCACAGCAAAGAAGAGTTTATTGATTTGGGGTCAAATAATCCACAGAACCTATCTTCCTGGGTCCCCTAACATATGCAACCAGTCACCTACAGGCTCATGGCTATCTGGAAGTGGCATGCAGCTTAAGTCGAAGGCTCAGGGTAGCCCGTGAACTGAACCAATGGCCCTGTGAGAATCACTCTTTGGACGAATTGATCTTGTGATCTAAAGTATTTTGTTGACATTAAAATCCATGCACTTCCTGGTGGGTACATTCTTTAATAATAAAACAAAAGTTTGAATTCACAATTTACTCATTGACAGATTTTACACTTTCTCATATATTTTTTTATTTGATTCTACATAAATGTAGTATGATGTATTCTAAAAAAATGCATGCATGACTCAGAAACAGACAAATGTGAAGAAATAACATTTTAGAGCTCAGACGTAGCTTGTTGGTAGTCTTAATGTTAGGTCTGTCAAGGGAGTTCCCCTTCCGATTGACACCGTTATTTTAGCAGCCCATGGCGCTTTTAATCTTCTTTGCCAACACCATAATTCAAACACATCAATTCTTCCTTGGTCTTCCTCATTCAGTGTCCAATTTTCACATCCCTATGAGGCAATTGAAAATATCATAGCTTGAGCCAGGCACACTGTAGTTCTCAAAATAATGTCCTTGATTTTCAGTACTCTAATGAGGTCATGTGCAACAGATTTATCCAATACAACACATCTAATCATTTCTTGACTGCTAGTTCCTTGAACATTGTGGATCAAGCAAGACACAATCCTTGACAACTTCATTCTTTTCGCCATTT